CCCCCATCCCTGAGTCACCCAAGGGCTGGGCCTGGAGTTGGGTACAGTGAGAATCCCCAGTATTCCCTAACTGGATCTCAAAGTCACAATCAGCCCACTCCCTTCAAATCTACGTGACTCACAGTGCCCCTGTAGAAAATTTCTGAGGCTATAAATCTTTTAGGGAGCAGACAGCCTCATCTTTCTTGCTTAGAGCAGCTGGTGGGTTTGAACTGCCAACCTTGCAGTTTGTAGTCCTACACCTAGCCCTCAATGCCACCAGGCTCCTGGAGCATCCAAGTGTTTCCCTGCAGGTCCCCTCCATTTGGAAATGGCCCATTGTACAGATGAGGAAGCTGAGGTTCAGGGTGGCCATGGCTCACCCAAGACTACACAGTAAGAGTCTGGCCTGAGGTTCACACCCGTCCTTGCTGGCACCCAAAGTCTTCCCAAGAAGGCTTACATAGCCTCACCGGGCTTCCCAGCCCACAACCTCGTCAAGCCTCCCTCTACCCACGCCCCAGGAGACAAGCGCAGGTCAGTCAGTCCAAGGAGTGGGTCTGAGGCTCCCAACAACCTCTGCAGTGGGAACCACAGACAAGCCCACTTGCCCTGAAGCGTCGAGCCCTGGCCCCTCACCTGGGAGCCAGCGCCCAGCACTGGCTCTCTGAACATAGCAAACACGCCGGTCTGGAGCTGCGCCCACACCTCGGGCCAGGGCAGCTGGCCAGGCCCCACGCCAGCTCAAGTTTACAGCCCCGATCCATCACACTGAGTGGCTCCTGGCTCACCCCATGGACACACGCCGTCAGGCCGGCTCACACCGCCCAGCGTGTGACCACGCAGGGCTGCCCTTCCTCTGGGTAACATCTTGATTCCCCATCATCTCCGATAGCACATGGCCGGCCAGCTGCTCCACGGGCCACTTGCTCCCTGCCCAAGCCACCATGTCCAGGACAGGGGGGATGCGGGGAACCACCGCTGGCTCCTGGCCCTGCAGCATCCTCAGCCAGCCGGGTGGTGACTCGGGTCCAGCCATGCCAATGTGCCACACTGGGGCAGAGCATGCCAGCACCAAAGGCCACCTTGTCCAGCCAGCCCTGCCGATGACAACAGCCAGAGGTACCCTCTGAAGTCAGAGGCCCTTGCTCTGATTGTGAACACGTGGCTGGCCCCTGCCCGAAGGCCACCTGTGTACCTCACAGTTCAGGACAGAGTAGAACTGCCCCCCAAGTGTATGTACAAAAGCAGATGATCCTATGTTTCTCCAGCCCAGCAGCTGGTAGGTACAAACCACTCGCCTTCCCGTGAGGGGCCGAGCACTTAACTTCTGCATCACCAGGGCTCCATCCATAAAGTTGACAGCCAAGAAAACACCAACCTCAACATCTTTGAAGGGAACCCCGAAGGCAGCAAGACCGCCGAGGGGGGTGGGGGCAGGAGCTTCAATCAGACACACTTGCCTCTCCATCACAGAGAGGGGTGTCTGTGTGCTGGGGTGAGGGGTGTCCTCCCAGCCTTGACCCTGCTGCAATGAAACCAGACTGAGAGGGCTCAGGGTCCCAACCCTCAATGTGAAGGTTAAATCAGGTCCACGCCGGAGACGAGGCTGGAG